TTTCCGTTTTAGGGAAAAATTGTAACGAGGAATGTATCATCGTAATTACTCATAACCCGTAGCAGTTACGAATAAATGCTGAATACACTAACATACATTAGTTTTTACACAGTAGTGGCAGCGTACACCGTGGATTAAATAATGTTTTTCTTAACCCCACTAATGGAGAGATTGAAAGTGTATTTAACTCACATAATGTTACGGGAGGACAAACAACGGATTAGCACTTTGGAGACATCTCCGAAAATGGGTAATGTTTATGGTTAAGGAGTCAAAACTGACCGGGAATTATGTAAATGGTTTACAAAGTTTCGTTGGATGAGGAATCCAGACAACAAGGGCCTTCCTAGGACTTTGGTGTTTTAAAGTTATTTATGGAAATCAATCCACGACAAAATACTCGGGAATTGGCAAGATTATTATTTTGCATATATTTTACATATTTCATCGTCTGTTTCTACAATAACCAGATCGTTAAACCTATTTAATTTTGAAGCCTCTAATACTTAGACCTCAACTTAGGCTGCATATCTTTTCTGAAAATCCTGAATTCTTTCTTTTAATAGCACTGGACTTCAACATGAAAGATTTAAAAGCAAGAATAGCCAATCTTAGCTTATTTGTGGGCACTGAAAATAAAAGCGATATCGAAAATTGTTGACTGGCTCTAGAGTTGAAGATACGATACTAGTGTTATATAAATATTTTATCAAAACTGTTGTCCGGGCCAGATTAATTATTATTCCCCTAATAATCTTATATTTTATTCTCCTAATAAACTAATTATTATTCCCCTTCCCATTCAGGTTTTCACACATTTAACTGACCTGCGAAAAAAGCCGATAACTTCTGCTGTGTGTGGTGAAGTGACTTTTGCACCTCAAAAACGAAATATACCATCTGCGATGCGTAAAGCTTCGAAAGAAACTGCTCTCATTTACCCGTCATAGAGAACCCTCCCTGCCTCTCATCCGAATGGCCAATGCCCAACTCCACGAGAGCGCCTTCTTGCGTCTACTTGGTATCACGCTTTCCAATGACCTGAGGCGAAACAATTACATTGAATCAATAGCTTCATCTATGGCAAGGAAAGTTGATTCTCCGAGTTGCGTCAGAAGGTTTTTTTTTGCCTGAATCCATCCTTCAAATCTATAAATCAACCATTCGTCCTTGCATTGTATACTTCTGCTATATATGGCCTGGTGCCCCCGCTGTTCATCTTGAGGTCCTCGACAAAATCCAGAGACGGATATGCAATGTAATAGGTCCTGATCTGGCATCTCGTTTATAGTCACTTTCTTATAGATGTGATGTGAATTCCCTCTGTCTTTTCTAGAAATATTTTCATGGTAACTGCACTGACGAGCTACTTTCACTTGTACCGCAACTGCATGAATTTAAGCGTGGTACTAGTTTGGCATCTAGGTCCCACCCTTTCACTGTCGAAAAAATTAAATGTAACCGTCTCTTCTACTCCAACAGCTTCGTATCTTGCACTTCCCGACAGTGGAACTCCCTTCCTCTTACTTGCTTCCTTGATAGCTATAATCTTCAAATATTCAAATGTAATGTCAATCGACATCTTCTGATGCCCTGATCCTGGTCCCCGACCTTCTCTCTATCCTTTCCTCAAACACCCTTCTTTACTTTTGCTCTCATTCTCTGTAACCCCGTGCGTGCTAGTAGCAAACCCGCCTTGCTTAAAAATAATTAAAAAAAAAAAGATTATAATGAAAGTATACTAGTCTCAGAAGCATCGGAATCGTATAAAATTGAATCAAATGATGGGAAAGGCAATTAAACTTCTGAGCCTGAACCATCAAGTTCATATGATCAAAATTATTGTCCAACATTTCTCTCTGAGCCACACCTCACAACTCAAAGTGACCTAATAACACTGGACTGGAACATGAAACCTTCAAAAACAAGAATAGCCAATCTTAGCTAATTTGGGGACACTGAAAACAAAAATGATATTCAAAATTGTTGATTGGCTCTAGATGCCAAGATACTATATTATGAATATTTTATCAAAATTGTTGTCCGTGCCAGATCAATTAGTATTCTCCTAATAACCTTATTATATATAATTATTCTCCTAATAAACATGATTTGAAGAGAGCCAACCGATTATGGTATTGATTGCTACTTCTGCATGGTGCCTCCAATTTCTAAGGGACTGTCAAAGAAAAGGCAATGGACAGTACAATATCCAAACATTCCATCAGATTTACGTCCTGTTATGAAGACATACCAATCCCAGAAGCACCGGAATTCTATGAAATTGAATCAGATGATGGGGGAAGAGAATGAACCATCAACTTCATATGACAAAGATTGTTCAAGATCCATCTAACTAACGCCTTTATCCTCAAGGACACATGGCACAGTGGATAAAGACTTTAGTTAGATCCAGTGACAGGATCCAAAGAGTGTGAGTTCAATACCTTGTTATAGCAGTGGAGAACTTTCAGAGGGAAATTAACAGAAGATAACTGATAACTGATATCCATTAAACATGGAACTAGAACAGTCTACCCCAGTGAGCGAAATAAAGGGCTCAGTTCGACATTCCAACCACCTGAAGAAGGCCGGAGCATACAACGGCCGAAACGTTGTGATATGGCGACAAAGATGGGGACAATAGTCCGAATCATGTAAATAATGTACATAATACCTCATCTCAGAAATATAGAAAGATTGTTTTCCTTGAAGCCTGATAACTGAATAGATATCTTTAAATCTAGAGTCAATCACTTAGTTTGAAGGTCATTTTCGAATTCTATATGCCAAAATACATAATAATTGTCTTCGAAATACTTCAATTAAATTTCGACATTAAATGACCCATAAGGAGTTCATATGCCGTTAAACAAACAATAATGAGGAAAGCAGGCTTGGAGAATTTGACACTCATAGGACATACTGATGACAAGAGGGATAACGAGTAACCAAAATTTAAAACGTGCTAGAAAGACTTAAAAATTTTCCCAGCATAAGTGAAGTAAGGGTAAAGAAAGGTATCTTTATCTCCAGATTCGTAAAATTCTTTTTGATGAAAATTTTGACAGAATCCTACGCGAAAAGGAAAAAGGAAACTGTATGAAAAGCTTTTATCCCCAAAATACAGAAATATTGTTTTCCTTGGAGTCATCAATTGTATGATATAACTGAATAAATATCTTTAAATCTAAAGCCAATCACTTAGTTTAAATGTCATTTCCGAGTTCTATATGCCAAAATGCATAATAATTGGCTCATTTTATTTCCGAAATAGTCAACTTGTAAAAATTGTAAACCAATAGTCCTTTCTTCTTGCTTTTTTTACTATCTTCTTTCAAAGTTCTTTGAGATTTATTACATGTTCTTAATTAAAATAATACTTTTTACCCTACCCTGTCACAGCGTACTTTATGATTTTTCTCCCATTACATTTTTCCCGTAACATTTATTTGGTTACGGCTTTCTTTCCGGACATGCCTTGTAGTCAATTACGCTCACAAAGCGCATAGCAGAGAACCAAACCAAACCTTCCTCACCCCGGCTCGCTTACACGGAAATAGCGACCCCTAACCAGACTCTACCCTCCTCTACTTCTCCTACTGTACGTTGACACCCCCACGTCCACATCGGCATTTTTCCCTCCCCGACAGTTTGTGTTGATAGATGATATCTCCGGGTAAACGAAGCAACGGTTACCCTGGTGACTACAAAGCGATTATAGGCAGGTCAGTAGGTGGTTAGACTGAAGTGGCCCTTTTTTTCATTGGAGGCCACAGAGAACAAACGCACATACACGTGACCTAGTATGCTCTATTTATCCGCGGTTTACTTTTCCGTGGTTTCATTTATCCGCTGACAAGACCAATTTGCATGTTTAGCTTAGTAATGGCTCTTATTTGCAAAAAACGCTCATGCCGACAATTCGAAGATGCCAAGGAGAAAGCACAGAGTTTTTCCTATCAATGGAAATGTTGAAGTTCTCGAAATTAACAAGAATGGTGCTAATATTATGAAGATTACAGTAAGAACGAAACTCCAATCCATCACATAACTTTTATTTAGGTACCAGCACTAATTCGCTGAAAAAAATGGGTCCAAACTTAATAAAAACAAAACTTTTATCGTTAAAGTGTTTGTGTTATTATTAAGCCTTTCTAGTACGTTCGAAATTTTGGTTAAATATATTTTTCTTTTGGGTTTTTTTTGCGTCAGTCAGTAGTTCAAAGATTACTGTGGTAAATTTAGCGTCTTTTTCGCGGTAAAAACAACTATCGATCATGTAAACATAGCTACTGTCGGTTAAAAAACACAGCTACTGTTTGTTTCAAAAATGCATTTCAAACCAGATAATATTTCTCAAATAAAGTTTCAGAAAAAGATATTTTATTTTTGGAAGATTTGTTAATACGAAGAATTCCATTGCGATGAAAGACGACAAAAAAGACGCCATTTTAGAAAAAAAGTCGATTCCAGTCAATATAATTTATGTTTGAAATACACTTCAGTGTATTTTGCTTACTGGAAACAGTAAATTTAATCCTTCAGATTACAATTATGAAATTTTTTTCGGTTTTTAAAATTCATTTTAAACATTAGGTATCTCGAATTAGTGGATGACCCTACTTCTATTACAGTCTATTGTTATAATGCTTCTATTTTATTATTAGTCATTGTTGTTAATCTCTTATTGTGCCTAATAAAATCTACAGTAAGAACGAATCTTCTATCTATCACATAACTTTTATTACAGTCTATTGTTATAATGCTTCTATTTTATTATTAGTTATTGTTGTTAATCCCTTATTGTGCCTAATAAAATCTACAGTAAGAACGAATCTTCTATCTGTCACATAACTTTTATTACAGTCTATTGTTATAATGCTTCTATTTTATTATTAGTTATTGTTGTTAATCTCTTATTGTGCTTAATAAAATCTACAGTAAGAACGAATCTTCTATCTGTCACATAACTTTTATTACAGTCTATTGTTATAATG